CACCACGTCAAATCACGGGAGAATCATGAATATCAAACCCAAGAACAGTCAGAACCGACGACGTGGACTCACCAGGAAAAAATGAAGGGGGGGTCGCAAAACTGACGTAAACACCTCCCTCACCACTAGGAGAGGGTCACAAAAAACTGACGGCCGCCACCTGGGGAACTGCGGGGATATTGCAGCGAAGAGGAGGGGTTGGGAATTCTGACGACGGCGCGGCCGCCCGACCCGTTAGCCCCCTTTGCCGAACATGAACCGACGACGGCGCGGCCCGAAAGCCCTCAAGTCGCTGTCTAGTGGAGCCGCGCCAGTGATCGCGTCGAGGGGTCATGCTCAAAATAGGCGTAAGGATCGAAGCGTAGGCCCGCCGCGGGCGCCGGTTTTTGCAAACGCTGCTGCGCGGCCCAGGCACAGCCGGCGCCGCGGGTGGGCCAGGCCTCGGGCCTCGCCAGAGCCTCCCCCCCGCCAACGAGGCCCAGCTGCCCTTCCCCGACCAGGTAGTCATGACGTCCTTGCAGTGCTTGGCCACTGGCGGCCCAAAACAAAAGATTACTGCATTCCGAGTGTGCCACTGATACGGTGCAACATATGAAATATCTACATATTGTGCATGCACACATGCGTATACACATACATACATGCGTGCAAATATACATGCATCTGAACATGCACATTCATTCATTCATGTATTCATTCATTCATCCATTCATACATACATGCATGCATACGTGCATACATACATAGATGCATACCTACATATCTACATACCTACATACATACCTACCAACGCATCTACATGTCTGCGCACATACCTACCTACATACCTACCTGCATGTGTACGAACACACACATGTATACACATACACACAAACAAACACACATACAGAAATCCATGTCTGCATGCATGTTTACATACAAACATACATACATACATACATACATACATACATGCATGCATGCATGCATGCATACATACATACAAATACATACATACAAATACATACATACAAATACATACATACAATTACATACATACATACATACATACATACATACATACATACATACATACATACATACATACATGCATACATACATACATACATAAATGCATCCATACATACATACATACATACATACATACATACATACATACATACATACATACGTACGTACATACATACATACATACATACATACATACATACATACATACATACATACATACATACATACATGCATGCATACATACATACATACATACATACATACACACACATACACGTATCCATTCAGTTATCCATCCATACATATATATATATATACAC